GTCTCCTCTTTTCTAAGCTGAAAAGTCCCAGTCTCTTTAGCGTCTCTTCATATGGGACCTGTTCCCAACCCCTGATCATTGTAGTTGCCCTCCCCTCTCCCAGCCTCTCTCTTCCCCTCTCCCACCTCCTTTTCCCAGTCTCCCCCAGTTTTGTTCAATAAAGACAGATTCCATTTTTGAACACAATTGTCCTTTATTTTGTACATCAAGAAGGGGGGCTAGGGAAGGGTAAGTGGAAGGAGGTGAGGGAGGAATGGCGTACGAGTCCCCGATGGGGAGGACTGGGCTGGCTCTGCGGGCTTCTGGGTGTGGAAGCTCTCCTGCAGCCCCCCAATTGCCCCCTCTCCCCAGATGGCAGCCTGCGGCAAATGCAGCCGGGCTGATGGCCGAGTGCTGTGTTGTGCCCAGTGTGGGTAGTCCGGGCAATCCAAGCCAGGACTGCTCTGTAAGCGGGGCACCCCTGAGAACTGTCTGTCCGGGGTGGGGGTCGGGACCCTTTAAGCACAGCCTTTGGCTAGCCTGAGACAGCATCTCCATGTTCTAAGTCCTCATCTGATGCCCGGCCGGCACTGCTTCCGGCCATCCTTAACCCCGGTTCAGGGTCCACTTAATGTGGACATGCTCGTTCGAATTAGCAAAACGCTAATTTGAACTAGTTTTTAGTTCTAAATGCATTAGTTCGAATTAGCTTAGTTCGAATTAACTAATTCCAACTAAGTTAGTTCGAATTAGCGCTGTAGTGTAGACATACCCCCAGTAAGTGTAGACCTGCCCTCACTATTTGAGCCTGCCCCTTGCTGAATCCAATCTGTTTGAAAAAACTGACTTATTAACATCAAGCGCTTAAATAAGAACAGTGATAGAAATGTAGCTGTGTTAGTCTGGTGTAGCTGAAACAAAAAACAGGACTGTGTAGCACTTTAAAGACTAACAAGATGGTTTAATAGGTGATGAGCTTTCGTGGGCCAGACCCACTTCACTGTAACATGAGGATAAATTCAGCTCATGCTTCGATGGGTATAAGTCCCCGTTAAAGGGAGCTGAACCCAAATTATCTCCTTGTAGTTCCCAAGAAATGATTTCATGTAGTTTCTTATCTCCAAACACAGGCTCTCCAATTCTATTTATCTTTAGCATGAACAAGGCTGTGTGTTCTCCTGAATGTCACTTTTAATACCCAAAATACATCCTTGTGGTTAATTGAAGAAAAACATTCCAGCAAAGGTACCACAAACAGAAAAAGCTCCTTGTTGCTTGAAGATACAGTTTTTGCCTAAAGTGTCCCCAATTTATTGTTTATTTTGTATATTTTTGTTTTTCACCTGATTCAGAGCAAGGCTCAGTATGAGTGATCACTTTTCAAGAAAAATATCTGTTAAAAGAACCACACGTCTGAATGATTTATATGGTGAATTGGGCGGACTCATAGTCTTCGCTGAAAGATTGTCTCTGGGAAATGCCAACGTTGAGTGCATTGTAAGATTGTCCTTTCCTAACAAATGTTAAATTAATTATAGCCTCTTTACAAGAACATACTGTTTAAAATTGCATGAGCCCATTTTCTCCTGGCCAAGCTGGGCCAAATGCAATTTGGAAGCTGTGGGTCATCCTCACAGTGGTTAAGAAGGGAAAAAATGGAGTCTTTGTGGTATAATTTTACAAGTTCCCTTTATTCCATCCATTTCCTTCTTATTAGTATTTAATTGAAATTCACCCCAAGCTGGGTTTTTGAAAAGGCTAGATTTTTCTAGAGTACATATGCCGAAAGTCAGTTTACAGTGCAAGTTTATGTTTGAAAAAAATATATATAACAAACCTAGCCATTAGGCAATGGTGTAGTGATCCAAGAGTCAGGTTTGATTGAACTCTCTCAAATGGCAGGCTCAAGTAATCTCTTCTATTGTAGAGAAACTGAGTTACATGCTGATTTTTTGTCAGTTTGTGGGGAGGCTCCTGGACTAAACAAATTCAAATACTGGTTTTATCTACATGCATATGGAACCTAGCCTAAGCCCTCATGAATGGACTGAAAATCCAGGGAGGCCTAGCAGAGGTCACCCAGCATACATAGTATTTTGAGTATCTGCACAATCCAATGTGAACTACATCTTAGATTTGCAGGGTTTATGTTGTGGGCTGAGCTTGGAAGTATAGCAATAATCTTTCCCCAAGTTTGCTCTCACTCTTTGGCTGTGTCTACACTGGCGCGATCTGGTGCAAAAGTGGCCGCTCTTGTGCAAAAACTTGCTGCCTGTCTACACTGACCGCGTGTTCTTGCGCAAGTAAACTGACATTCTAATATATAAAATCAGGGCTTGTTGTGCAAGAACTCTGATGCTCCCGCTCAGGAATAATCCCTCTTGTGCAAGAGCTCTTCCAGAAGAGGCCAGTGTAGACAGGCAACATGAATTTCTTGCACAAGAAAGCCCTATGGTTAAAATGGCCATCAGAGCTTTCTTGCACAAGACCGCGTCTACACTGGCATGGATGCTCTTGCGCAAAAGCACATGCCAGTGTAGACGCTCTCTTCTGGAAGAGTTTTTGCAGAAGAACTCTTCTGCAAAAGAGTTTTTGCGTGAGAACGCACCAGTGTAGACATAGCCTTTGTAATCGGGGCGAGGGAGATGAAGAGGGGAGATTTGCTTTCTCTAGCACTGAATTGGAGCATGCTCTGTGTCAGGTGTCTCCTTAGCAACAGTCTTTCTCCACACATTTTTTACTTCAGCAATTTGCCTTCTGAATCTAAAACAACCATACCTGATTCAAGCAAAAATAATACTTCTAATTATTTTTGTTTACAGTTCTTTTCATACAAATGGCTGGTGCAGTTTTTACACTCAGCTTAATTCAGTTTACATCAGCAACATTTCTTGATGTGGCTCTTTCTGGCTGCCTTTCAGTCTTATGGCCTATGGTTTAAAAAAAATGACAAATTCATAAATTTAGCATCATTGAAACCATGTGCATCTACATCAAAGTGTCCAATTATTCAGTGGCTGTATTAAATGTGACTGCAGTAATTTGAACTCAAATCTGGACTATCTGGAATGTTGCTTTATATAAAATATCTCTCTGGATACAGAACTTGATATTGTGGTTTGGGTAGGTACAGTCTCACTCTATCAAACTGCAGTTACGAAGTGATATGTATTATGCATATTTTGGTTAGTCAGCTTTTGCATTCTCTTTTTCGGATAGATTCAGCTCCTGGTAAAGTCAGTGCAACTTGTGCAATTGACTGCAGTGGAAGTAGAATCTTAATATGTATAAAAGGAGCATTCAAATTAAAATACCCTATCATCTGTGCACAGACATGTTGACTCTTAACACTGCATGTAGCTATTAGTGTCTTGTAAATGCTAAAAGAAGCACATGTAGAAAGAAAGCCAGTGCTGTAAATGTTTAAAACAACAACAACAAAATCATTTATGTATCAACTTTATTTTTCAATATTTTAATATATTTTTTTCACTTTATTCAGCATTGGGGGGGGGGGGGGGGGGAGGAACCCTGACATTCAGCTTGATTTGCATACTAATAGCTTTTGATAGATTTCACTT